AAAATTATGTCGCTCAATTGTCAGCCGACTTCTGTAATACCTAAAAGCAATACATATGAGAGAAATTTCCCAATTCAATTGTTAGCAAGTTTATCTTCTACTCCGTAGTATAATACTTAAAAGCGCTACATGTGAAAGAGAAAATTTTTCCGCTCAATTGTCAGCAGACTTATATTACCTAAAAGCACTATATATGATAGAAAAAATTCTTCCGCTCGATCGTTTGTCTAATTATCTTATCTTATACTTAAAAGAATTACATATGAGAGAAAAATTTCTCCCGCTCAATTGTTCCCAAGCTTATCTTCTACTTCGTAGTAACAATACATAAAAGTACTACATATGAGAGGGAAAAGTTTCTCACTCGAGTGATAGACGACTGAGCTTATATATAAAAGCACTATGCATGAGAGAGAAACTGATTGTGCTCAATTCTTAGCCGGATTATCTTACCGTATACCAAAGAGCACTATATATGAGAGAGAAAATTCTCGTCTTTCCCACAATCGAGCACATCAACACCTTATCAGCCCTCAATAACATTTCAAAAAAGCAGTCAATTCTTGCACGCCGAGAGGTTATGCACCATTCAGTTTCCTCTAAAAATTATTTGATGTAAGTGTTGTTCCTGATCTTCCACATCCTCATTACTTAATTACATAATTCCGTTTTTAATTTACTTTATAATGTTAGATTGTTAAGACTTTGATTTTTTTGTTCATACCGAGTACGAAGTATATCTTAACAAATGGAAGAACTTCTGCTTTATAGGTTTATTATTATGAGCCCCTTTGGTGTCCTTGTACATTTTAAATATAATTTTCCATAAACAACATAATTAGCAAACCAGTCATTTTAGCCAAAACTTCATAAATTATATTTCAGCGGAACAACCGATCTAGTCAATTTCAGTTTTACCAAACGAACGTTATGAATAGTATGAACTTTTGATTTGATCGATTCACATGTAAATTTTCTCGTCCTACTAATTGTGTGATCTTTTATTACATTATGGACATTGTTTAAAAAAATGATATGCCCGACCTCTAAAAATACTACTTTAAGGAAGGTAATGCATATAATGTATATATAACTTTATTTAGCAAGTTTGACATTATTTTTTAAACTCTATTTCCTGAAATCATTACACATGAGATAGATAATTTTCTCTCACTCAATTGTTAATCGACTTATCTTATACCTAAAATTTTCTCCTCAATTCTATAAGAACCATATCATTTTGTCATTTATTGGTAAATCAACTTTGATTCTCTCTCACCAAAACTATGATACTATGAACATGACTAAAAATATGATTTGAAGTCAAGGAATTATATGGTACTCTTTCTATGACTATGTACATTATAGAGATCTTTTCAGGAATAATATTTGATCAATAGAGCACGCTCATAAGTCTGTCTCGTTTGTATGTACAAAATTGAAAGTTCACAATAGTAATCAAATTCAGTATATTTGTAGCTTTGAATCACATACATGTTACTATCATAGAGATATTATTTCAACATGTTGATTTTTAATTATGAAATGTGATTTTTCAAGATTCTCATTTTTTATTGTTAAGAAATCCTTTTTTCAAAAAGCCCCTTTTTATTACCCACTGTTCTATTGTTTCTTTCATGTTCTAATTTTGATACTTAGAGCCGGTTTAGTAACACTGAAATTGGCCGGCTAAATTGTCTCGTCCTTTTGAAATTGATGAAATTCTCATAAAAATGCCTGAATTGGTTGAAATTGATTCTTTAGATTTATGGATGAATTTAATTTAGATTATATTTCATTAATGAAGTATATAAAAAATTATATGAAAAGCGGTTGAATTAGTTCAATCTATTGGTTTATAGATAAATTTAATTTAAAATAATTTTATTAATGAAATTAAGAAAAACATTATATGAAAAGTAGCTAAAAAACTTCCTTTATTGAGACAACAAAATAGATCATAAATTGAATATAGATAGTTATAAGCATAATTATAGAGATCGTTAATAAATTATATTTGTATATATTCAATATTGATCTCATATGAAAGATCACAAAAAATTATGAATTTTGATATGATTTTTTTAAAAATTGGAACAAAAATGAAAAAGTTATAATACTTTAAAAAAAATTGGGTTTTTTATTGGTTGGGCCCCACCAACTGAAAATCCCACGGCTGTTCCCCTTCCATTTCAATTGGAAAATTCGGTATTTTGGAGTGAAAAAAGCCACGTGTCATTTTTATAGAAAATGAGAGAATTGTGGAGAGTTTGACATATAGGATTAACGAAGGGTAAAATAGTATTTTTATGAGCTATTTGTTTTCTTATATATAAATAGATTGCTAGTGAGAAGACATAACAGAGGTTGAGAGGATGAAAATAGGGTGAAGACGGGGGAGTACAAATGAGGTGAGCAAAATAAGTACTCCGTATGAGGTAGCGAAGGAAAAATGAAACAATGAAATTAAAAGATAGGGTGAGAGAAATATAAGTGGAGATGACTTTGCACGGAATAATGAGAAAGTGTGCAAAAAGGTAGTGGGAAGAGAGTAAAGTTGCAAATTAAAAAATCATCCAGAGTTTTACACTTCTCTTTTTAGAATACTCGTATATTCAGTTTACGCACTTTCACTTTTTAATAAATTTTTCCTTTGGAATAATCAATAATCCTCTTTTTTACCTTTTATCTTCTATTTCATTTCTTTCTACCTTTGCACTAGGTTTGTACAATATTCATCATCTCTTCTATTTCCTCATTAAATAAAATGCCAAAGCTCATTATATGACAAAATGGAAAATAACTTTCACTTTGAGAAAGCTTGAAATATGAAAACGAAACTTTTTTCCAAATGAAACTTTTTAGTATTTTTAATGGTTAGCTAGTTATTCTTGCCGTTCGGCTTGCCACATCACCGTTTTTAGTAAAATTATTTTCAAAATAAAGGTACTTCAATAATTAGCTACAACTTATTCTTCTCCATTTATTATTAATAACACTATTTTCCGTATTTTTTTTGGAACAAAAACTAGCCTCTGTTCATATCATAAGTTTCAGGATCATTACATCAATCAAAAGAAAAATAAAACTGACACCAACTAGACTCCAAAACTATAACCAGGGGCGGATCTAGCCCATGGCCAGGGTGGGCCTAGGCCCATGCTCAAAAAAATATAATTATTAGTATATATATACTATGTATATATTTATATATAGTGTTTTAGTAGTTATGATATAAAAAAAGCTAATGTCAATTTGTGAACATCAGTTAAGTTGGTCCAATGGAAGCACACTAATTATGCAATAAAAGTAATCAGGTTTGAGTCCCCTGGGCACCATATTTATAATTTTTCAATGCACATGAGTAAATTTTTTGATACACTTCCAAATTGTTGGACTTTTGGTAACTGGTATGCAAAATTAGTTCAAATCATTTGGCTTTTGAATATTAGCTTGAAAAATTATTTAATTCGATTCATTAGAATTTCGAATATTAGTCTAAAAAATTAATTAGTTCACATCATTGGACAAATGAATATTGGTTTGAAAAATTAATAAGTTCAATTCATTCTGCTTGGTAGGTTAAATTTAATTAGTTTACTTTTTTTACATAGAGCAAAGACTATAGAGTATGGAGTCAAAAGAAATTGAATTTCAAGAAATCAATTTGAAAATTGGTATTGAACATGTCATTAACCGACGCGAGCCAATTTCGGTTAGATATCTATGACTCTTTTAAGATAATTAAATTTTCAGTTTTGTAATATTTATTATTTTTTCTTTGACACTTCTATAAAATTATATAACTAAATCTTGTAATTGTAACATTTTTTGCAAAATAAATTATGTATCGCTAATTAAAATTTGGCCCCATCTCAACGCAAATGCTACATCCGCCCCTGAGTCTACAACTATAAACCATATGATGAGCCTTAGAAACAGTCATCCCTGAAAGAGCAACACGAATCGCTAACCATGTAACGGGTTTGACACAGCCAAACATATTCCCATAGATCCAAACATGCTCAATGACATAAAACAAGGCTAAATTCCCAAACAAACTGACAAACCTAACAACATAGATGATAACAAGAAACCAAGTGACAAAATATTGAAAACTTATTGGAAAACTTTCACGGACTCTACCATCTCGCACAACCCATGGCGGTGGTTCTGGAGGAGGTCGTATCCTTGGTACCACTCTAAATGATCCTCCATTGTCAATCATCATCTTGCCTGCTCGAAATCCGTACAACTCTCCTCGTCCCGCGCTCATAGCAAATCCACCACTAGCGGTCATCTTCATCGCTGTCATGCCCTTGTTGCCCTGCTCACGAACAAATCGATCGTCAAACTCTAGCTTCGATGTCGTCAAGCTTGGACAAAGATTCTTGTCAATCTGCCTCAAATCCAATCCCAGCGCCGGACACAAATGAAGGGGATACACCGGCCGGAAGAACCAAACTTTAGATTTGCCAAGGAAAAACCAAACCCTAAACATGCTAGGGAGAGACCGCTTCGGAGTATATGCTTACTACATCCGCCTTGCAAGGAGTTTTGAATTCTGGTAGAGGGAATACAGGAGCCTCAAGATCGATGACGAGAGGCGCAACGATGAATCTACCACTGTAAACTTATTTTCCGTATTTAATAATTCTCTTCTCTTAAGGATGTTTTCTTTGGACTGAAATTTGCTGGTCTGATCTGGTCTAGTCTGGTTTGAACTAGTCTGGTCTGGTCTGGTAAACGTCTGGTCTCTTTGTACTTCGTATTTTATAACTACGGAAGTCTGGTTTGGTCTGGTCTGGTATGGCCTAGTCTGGTCTTATTTGGTCTGGCATGAGTTGATTTGGGACTGAAAATTATTCTAAAAAAACATCCTAAGTTAGTAACTTTTTTTGACTAATTAGCCTTTTCAAATAGAAAGAGAAGAAATGCTTCAATAATTAGGTGTTTGTTTTAAAATTACAAGTAAATCGTCCAAATCTATCGTTGGTGATGCTCAAATTATATTGTAAAAAATGTTATATTTCGCCTCAAAATATATCAAGTAGGAATGTATATCATAAATGTGCATTACAAATGTGCGCCAAGCATCATTCACGTATATAGACGGGTTCACATGCTTTTGCTTCTCCTCTGCTCCTTCCATGACTTGTATTTAGGAAATTTCAGACCGGTCCTTGAATTCAGTCAACCTCTGATTCTGTTTGGCTTCGCCGGAGAAGAAGTGACCGGCGTCCGGCTCGATGACGCCGGGGACGAGGCTGCCGTCGTGGAAGGAGAGGGAGAACAACAAGCGGCGGGAGCGGCGGAGAAGGGCGATCGCCGCCAAGATCTTCGCCGGACTACGAATGTACGGCAATTACAAGCTCCCCAAGCACTGCGATAACAACGAGGTCCTTAAAGCTCTCTGTAAGGAAGCCGGTTGGATCGTCGAAGACGACGGAACTACTTACAGAAAGGCAAGTTATTCAATTCCATTCCATACATTATTAAGCGTATCCGTTTATTCAGTAAAATGGTGTGAAATCTATATATTCTCTGGTTTATTCATGGCGGGCGTAAATTAGGAAGAATCACTTGCGATCTATGCTTATTGTTCTGCAGGGTTTAATGCAATAAACACCCTATAATATACAAATTCGGCGCATTAACCCATGTGATTTAAAAAATGAGTCAAATTCCCCTGCATTTTAATTAATCGTGTGCAAAATCTCTTCTATTAACAAGTTTAATTGTCAAATAAAATGATTAACATTTTTGTATAGTTTAGAGATTTAGACAATTTTACTTTCGTATTCAATCAGAATATTACGAAAAGTAATTTTTAAATCATTAAATTTATTTATAAATGAAGTTTTATGCATAATTAATTAAACACAAGGGGGTTTGAAGTATGTTTTCAATTTCTATATCACATGTCACGAAGGGATTTGGTGATTAAGCTATTGCTCTGCCTATCGATTATGACGCAAATTGATTGCTAAAATGCGCTTGATAGCGAGTGCATGTTAGCATGGTGAGGAATGCTCCGGTAGAATATTGGTTTTTGTAGTTGATAAGAACCTGGCCAATAAAAAATAAAAGTAATTTATTAGTTCATGCTCATGTTACTCCTGTAAATCACTCTATTGACACTTCATTTATCCCGAAATTAAGTTTGATGTTTGATTTTATGAGTTCTTAGGTAGACTAGAAAATAGAATTGGCTTTCCAAAAACGGTCTCACGTTATTAAAAGATATACTCACTATTTTAAAATTTCATACACTTTTCATTTTGTGATGTACTCCCGCAAAGAAGTTTTCCTTTTCCTTTTTAGTAATCCCAAAAAGAAGTTCTCTTTCTCTAAATGGAAAGCTATTTTATATCAAAACAGTGCAATACAGTGTCAAACAGTGACAAACGGTGTCGAAACAGTAAAATTTATCCCCTAGTAAGTTTATTTCCTTAATATGTGTGTATGTCAAACCAGGAACATCTTTGCGGGATGGAGGGAGTCTTTAAAAGTTCCATACATTTTCTCTTTTTGGTAAGTCTTTCCTTTGAAAATACTTAATTATTCTTACTTTTTGTACTTTTTATCTTCTCTTTTTTCTATTCATCCTCTCTTAAATCTTGTGTCATAACCTAACGTATGAATCTTTTAAATACGGAGGGAGTAGCGCTCAAATGAGTATAATAATCGATGTAAATGAATAGTGAAATATGATAACACACATCCATTCAATAAAATGATTGGCACATAAAATGGTAAATAGATAATAAAAGCTTATCAAATATAGAAAGATGTTGAAATAAGAACTTTATATTAGAATAACATCTCGAAAGGAAAGGTGAAATTTAGTTACCTGGAATAGAATTTTGGTTCATTCTTGGTAGTTTGGTGCGGCTAATGTCTATCTTTCTCTATTTCTTTTTGGGAACAGAGTTTCTGTTTAAATTATTAGGGAGTATATAAAAGTGCACAAATATGTGTATGTTTTATTCAGAGTTTTTTATCTCAATAAAATTTCCTTAAATATTCATGCATATAATTAAAATAATATATGGAGATAGAGCATACTTCGTATTTAGTTCTATTTAATAAATTTTCCCGGTTGTATTACCCTTTTAGCTTCCAAAATTCATCATAGCTATAAATTGAGGAGTCTAATCTCATATATATATAGACGGTTGAGATTATTTTATACTGGATTCCAGGCGCACGTTTATGTAATTATGCTGATGAAATTTCACTTGTGCACGATAGATTGCTTTAGGGCCTTAGGCTGATCATGTTTCACTTTGTGCACAACTACCGATGAATTCTCCGTTTCGCATTCTTCGCGCTGTACGTTTTTTCACCTCGGGTAGCCTGTGGGCTCGCGGTCTTAGATGTCTGAATATGAGTATGTTTGAGCTAATAACTCAGGAATTTGTGCAAGTTAAATAATTTGGGCTCGAATTCAAGCATAATTCAATCTCAGTTCGAGTCCAGGTCTAGTTTTGCTAATTATTATAGAGTAATTTTTATAGAATTGAACTCAAATAAAATGTTCAAATTCAAGCTAAAAATATAATATGTGTACTTATTCATTCCCAGTTTTAGTTTATCTATCCTTTAATGACATTTTTATTATTTATTTAACTATCATTAAATATTACAAGTACATATTATAATGGGAAAATGGAAACTAATAATCCAACCTTTTAGCGGTCTTCTTTTAATAGTTCCACATTTTCGTTATTCATGAATAATTCAACCTTTGCACCTCATCTTCATTCACTGGTCTCTGACCGGTTGATGACCTGCTATTCCAAGTTATTTTCTTATCTTTGCCAAATATTATCTTTGTGAAATGTGGAATTTATGGTATAATAGTTTGGAGAGATAAGAAAATAATTCGGAATAGCAGGTCATCAACCGGTCGGAGACTAATGAATGAAGATGAGGTGCAAAGGTTGAATTATTCATGAATAACGAAAAGGTGGGACCTATGTAGAACCGATACCGGTACGCGGAAACGTGGAAACGCGGAAACGGGTACAGAGATACGTCAAAATAAAAAAAAGTAGGATACGGATACGGGCCATTTTTATAAATATTAAAAGTTATGGGGGTGTATATACAAATATTAAAAGTTATAGGGGTCTATTTATAAATATTAAAAATATATTTTTTTTCGAAAAAAAATATATATATACATTTAATATCCTATGATGTCTACCCATTCATTGCATTGAAACATTTTCCTTTTTCAAGATACTTAGTAAGAAATTCATAATATTTCTCATATACACTAGTGCATCTCGAAATATAAATTTAGTAAATAAGTCATTAATTTAAAATGAGAAACAAGTCAAACAACTACAATCTTGAAATTAAAAGTGCAAGTACTCAATTCGGAGTATGAGTTAATGACTTAATTCGGATATAGCCATATAGGCCCATTATTTGATTACCAAGTAAAATGTAGTTTTAGATTTTTATTTTTTTTAGAATTTTATTAAGTAAATTTTGGGATTTTTTTTTTAAAGTTGATACGGGTATCCGTCAGGATACGAGTATCGGAAACTTTTAAAAAATTATAAAAAAAAAATGAAACTTTTAAAAATTGCAGATACGACCCGGGAAGGTACGGTACGGGTATCCTAGAGTATCGGATGCGGGAACGTATCGGATACGCCGATACGCTACCCTAGGGAAGTATTCGTGCTTCATAGGGTGGGACTATTAAAAGAAGACCGCTAAAAGGTTGGATTATTAGTTTCCATTTTCCCTGTTATAATTATTACAGATTATGATTATAATAATAATACGTACACGTTATTTTTTGTAATTATGACTAGTGTAATATACTCTATGATAAGTACTGAAAATGGAGTAGTACTAAATTACTCCGTAGAATGCATGTTCCAAAAAAGGTATATATAATTATCACATATATAATTACTAGTATTACATATGTAGTATAAAATATGACACAAAGGCTCGTGAACTGGCTCGCGGGTCACGACCCTAAAATAAATAGGTTTGAACTGAGCTTGTTAACTATTCGATTTGAGTCGAACCAAAGTCGAGTTTGAATATAACCAAACTCAAGTCCAGTTTTTCTCGAAGGATTCGCGCGCAGATCGCGAGTGGCTTGACTTATTTACACTCCTTTCGGGGATACCTTATGAAGGGTGTGCCACAAAAGAAAATGTTTGGGGTTCAACTTCAAACAATAATTTGGAATCAAAGTTTAAACTACTCTCTTTTAGTCCATTTTTCTTACTAATTTACGTGATGAGAAATAAACACCAGGCAAACACCAAGGCTACCCGCAGAATATAAGATATACAGTAATCGTTAACAAAGAAATATACAGCACAAAAAAAATTGTGAATACTGAGGGAATGATTTTTTCATGTTTGGAAATAAAAGAAATAAAAAATAGAACTAAAAATAGAGACGGGAAGGCCGTTGAATTTGCTGCTCGTTGCCACCAACCTCTCAACTTTTGCACATTTTAATGTGCAAAAGTTGATCATTGATCCAAAAAAGGTGGAATCTCCCACCCCGGACCCCCCACGTCTTGACCTGACAGGGCACATGGGCGGATGTAAATCACAATGACTCAATCACTAGAGATTCATATACTCGTGTGCACTAGAGGTCCATATACTCGTGCGCACTAGAGGTCCAGCCCATTTCAGAGACCTTAACCTCACCTGGTCGCTACAGGATTCAAACTTTGGTCTCTTGTTCCAAATTTCACACCATTCAACCAAATGAGCTACCTGTGCGGTGCAAAAAATCGATCACTATTTGTATGCTCCGAGTATCCTACATTTGTACTACCCATGTCCCAGTGGACTTTGCCAAGTGCAAAGTAGGTGAGAAATAAGAATTGTAAAAACTGTGTGGTTGAAATTTGTGCAGAGGAGAAAGAAATGTGCAGAACCACAAATTAGTTGCTTTAATAGGAAAGTGTCAAAGTTTTTTGGGACAATCAAAAAGGGAAATTTGACAAAGTTCAATGGGACGAAGGGAGTATATTTTACAATATTTTTTTTGTAAAGTACTCGTACATTTTATGAACACGTCCTTAAATGTGTCCTACAAATTATGGAGTTAAAATTAGTCACGATTCAAAGAATAAATGATGCTGGAGCGTATTTGTTTTTCTGTATAAAAATACAAATAATCCACATAATTTAAATAAATATCAATGTAATTAGCGCGTATTGTCCGTTTATACGTGTGTGTATTCGTATTTGGACACTACATTCAGGTTTCAGACCGTTCAGGTGGATGGCAGAATGGTCTTCTCAAGCTTCCCACTTGCCCAGAAGTCACCTGCTGAAATCTTGCGGGTTTAATAACTTCGCTATCCGTGATTTTGCAGAACTTTTGTCACCTCTTAATGGCTAATCATTTCTTTTATCACCCCTTATATTTGTTTATCCCGTAATTTCAATTAAAACTCCTATTAATACTCTTTCGTCTAATAAAATAATTCCCGCATTGATTTGGATTAGAAGTTAAGAAAGTGAAAATATGAAAATGTATATTTGTGATTAAGTAAGAAAAATAGTAAATGAATAAATAGTCACAAAAAGCTTTCCAAAAAAGAGAATGAGAAATATTCTAAGTAATAGAAGTTTTTCCCAAAGTATTACTCCCTCCGGTTTTTAATAAACTTCACACTTTCCTTTTTGGGACGGTCTAAAATAAACTTCACACTTCCTTATTTCCCTTTTTGACAAAGAAATCTACATCAAAACAGTGCCAAACAGTGCCAAGCAGTGCCAAACAGTTTCTCAACAGTGCTAAACAATGTCTCTATAGTGTCAAACAGTGTCAAACAGTGCCTCAACAGTGTACTCTACAGTAAAGTTAAATTTCTTTTCTTATTTTGTGTGAAGTCAAACTGTGAAGATTAAAAAAAACCGAAGGTAGTATAATTTTTCTTGATAAAAGCTTATAAATATTACATTATTTTTATTCAAAATTACTAATATAGAGGTCACATTTTGCCAAATGTTTTTATTTTAAAAATAAATGCAACCCCAAATCTCCACCCACTTACCCCAAATCTCCACCCACTTAAGTTAATGGTGTCCAAATTACTCCGTTTCTGTTTACTTCTCATGTTGTGCGAAGGTTAAGAGCCCTTTTTGGCTTATCAGGCTTATCAGCCAGCTTTTTCACCAAACACGTAACTTTTGCTCTCGCGCGCTGAATTGTGTAATATGTAGAAAAAAAAAGTAAGGTTGGAGTTACTTTTCTGGCTGTATTGGCTGGAGTTACTGTAGATGACTATTTTAGCTATTTTTACATATAATTTTTTCTTTGTTTTATTAATAAAATCTATTTTTAAATTTTTTTTCTTAAATCAGCAGAATCACCAATGCAGTCACTTCAGCCAAAACTTCATAAATTTCAGCAGAATCAGTCAAAATAACCGATCTTCGTCCTACCAAACAGGCTCTAAAACTCTATAACATAATAGGAAGTCTGGTGCCCTCTTACGGGTTAGACGGTTTACCATACAACAATTTAGGGGTGTTTGGATCTACTTATTAAAACTGTTTATGATCTTTCACGAAGAAGAAATAAATATTGGTAGGGATGTAAAAAACCCGACCCGTAGTGACCCGCCCTACCCCGAGACATTTGGGGCAGGTTCGGCCCGCCCCGTCTTCCAAATGGGGCAGGTCCGCCCCGCCCCGCCTATACAATAGGGCGGGTCCGAGTATTAGTATTGACCCGTGCCTCCCGACCTGCCCCGCAACGACCCGCTCAATACATAAACATATATACTTTTTCTTAAATTATACTCCGTATTACAAATATACTTCAAGATACATATGTGTATACATTAAATCATTAATTCTTTGATCTTATGATATATTAATACATATATTAGAATGAGATGAACGACGGATTATCAACGTCTTCTTTATATATAGCATTTTAATACATATGTTCAATTATTAATATAATTAAATACATTAACTATTCAAGTCTGAGTTTTTTTTCCTTAAATTTTGAAATTTTTAGGATATCATGAATTTGATTTAATATATTACTTTTTAATTATTATTTAGAGAAAACTTGATGTAGATTCAATTGGTAACAACTTCCCACAAATAAAAATACATACTAGCTAATTAGGTTACGGCGGGGCGGGACGGGACGGGGCGGACCCGCCCCACATGGGGCGGGACGGGGCGGACCCGCCCCACATGGGGCGGGTCATGGACCAACAAGTTTGGACCCGTGCAGGTCACGGGGCGGGACGGACCCGCCCGGCCAAGTCATAGGGCGGATCTGGGTCTTATAGTACCCGCCCCGCCCCGACCCATTGCCATGCCTAAATATTGGAGTGTTTGGGTGAAAGTCCAAAAGTACTCTTTTGGGTGTTCCAAATTACTTCTAGAAGCAGTTTTTAGAAGTTGAAAAAAGATTGATGTACACACAATTTGTACACTTGTCTGTCCCTCACAGACAAGTTGTCTGTCTCGAGATGAGTTGTCTGTGGACAGACAAGTGTACAAATTGTGTGTACAAATTGTGTGTACCTCTAACTCCTCCCTTAGAAGTTTGTAGAGACCAGCTTCTGAAAAAGTGATTTTGCGTCTGTTTTCGATTTCCAAAATGAAGCCAAAATATAATCAATTTCAAACACTCCTGACTAACCAAAAAAAAGTGAATTTCGTAGTTGGATTTATTAAAAATAAAAATAAAAGCGCACTTCTTACACTTGTTTTGGATATCTTTTTCTTTAATTTATTTAAAATGTATTTGAAGTGTGAATTAAAAAATTAACTCGTTTCAACCTAATTATAATAAGTCACTCCGTATCATTTAACAATTTGAAACACTTCTTACCTCAAAATAGAATAGAAGGGCTAGTGAAAAATACGGAAAGTTCTCAAGATAGTGCTAAAAATATAGCACTATTCTTTTAGAAATTTAGATTATTTTTATTAAGAGCAATTTCCTTAAAAAATCTAAAGCTGGATGGGGATATTATGCAATTTGGTGTCTCTATGTGGGGGAGTGCATTTTGGACCTTTTCTCCCTCAATAGTCTATGTCACCAGATGTAATTGTAGTCGTCTTTGTCAACGTATTCCGTTGTTATGCATATGATTTTTTTTTTGGGGGGGATGTTATGCATATGAACTTATGAAGTATGAACGCAAGCGTTTTAATTCAATAAAATGTGCGGCGGTGTACATCATTTGTCAATTTGTGGGCCTTAGATGTTTTTGTATTGTGGGTACTCACAATAAACATAGTGTTGCTTGCTGTCATAAAGTTAGTAACGCGTGACTAAATCATGAGAGGAAGAAGAAAACAATTGTGTTAATTTATGGAAATAAATAGCAATGATGATGTGTTGAGTCTAGAGCGTGTGAAGTGTGAACATGTTATTATCATCATTAGACCGGATATTTGGATGATCAAGAAGAGATGTAGAAGGGTTGGCTGTGGATGTAGCGTGTAAGATCATGCACTTAAGTTATTATTAGAAACGAACTATTTGTATACACTTTTTTTTGTACAAACTACTACTATGTACATATGTGTTGTAAACAATCTATTTTTGTCTAGAATAACTTGTTCATGGACATGTTTTGTTTGTGAACATATTTTGTTTATGAACAGACTATTCAAAGGCATGTGTACTGCTAACTGGTGTGTACAAAAAAATGTGTAACAAGTAGAGCTGATATTAAATTTTTTCATAATTGGTTTGATAAGTAATCCCGTATTAATTTAGTTGTTTGGGCAAATTCAATTTTTATAAGATTGACTTGGTGGAACATGTTGAGCAAAGCAAATTCCTATTTGCTGTAAACAGTATTTGATAGAAAATGAAGTTTAGTTGTTGAGAATATGTTTGAAAAAGAGGAATCAATATTGATCACATTCATTATAAGATAATGGGAAGAACTAATGCATTACTACCACCATAATGAAATAATGTGTTGGATTGAAAGATAAATCCAAAAAAATAGTTGTAATAATGTTTTATTTTTAAAATTATGAGGCTATAATAGGAAAATTTAGAAATAGAAAGATATGAATGTTAGGACTAAAAGGGAAAGTGGAAAGATATGAGTATTATGAAGGAGTATTTTAATTCATACGAACGGGGACGTAGATGAAATTATGAAAATGAAAACAAGCATTCTTCAAATTTAAATAAATACGGAGTACTCCGTATAAAAGATCAGATGAGGGAGACTCGTATCCTTGTATTATCTAGACACTGTTTTCGTCTATTTCAAATTATTTCTTTTTTAACGAAACCAATGCATGATCCGTAATACTTTTTCATTTTGTAACATTAGCCATTAGGTGCAGGATAAATAAGACAATTATTTTAAGGCACATAAAGTCTATGGGGTAGGTCCCAAAATTCTCATCACTTTGGTACACCAACCAAGTAAGTCTGGAATGTAGGGTTCACAATTTCACATCCGAATGATAAAGGAGTAATGAATTGGTCAGAATCCCATAAATGTTTTACACATTGCTAAGCATTCTGTAAAACGAACACTTGTGGACACGTTAGGAAGCCATTTGGCAACACAATTTTTCGGTTTATCACGTTTATCAGTTAACTTCTTCACCAAACACGTAAATTTTGCTTTCGCGCACTGAATTGTGTAATAAGCAGAGAAAGTTAGGTTTGAGTTACTTTTCTGACTGTATTGACTGAAATTACTGCAAATAATTATTTTAGCTATTTTTAGATATATTTTTTTCTATATTTTATTATTAAAATATATTTTAAAAATATTTTTTCTTAAATCAGAATTAGCCAATGCAGTCACTTCAGCCAGAACTTCATAAATTCAGCAGAATCAGCCAAATCAGTCGATTTTCGTGCTACCAAACAGGCTCTAGAATCGACACAATGTGACAAATATATAGAATGGGTGGAATAAATAAGTAAATAAATAAATATATGAAATAATATGACATACTCTTGGTAGAACCACTTCAAAATCATGTAGCGTTACACTATACTATTTATTTATACAATTTCAAAGAAATTGCCTCGCGTCTGACTAAAATTCTCCGTAATAGAAAATGCACAACTAGAGCATTATGTTTTTTTTTGCTCTTTATATGCATGTTTTCTTCTCTTTATAGGACCAAGTTATTCCTACTAGATATTATTTATCAAAGAACTCTTATTTATGCACTTTTGGTGACTCAAAATTGATGTAGTAGCAGTTTTTCCTTTTGTTTATAGATACAGTTTATGAATAGTAAATGAAATTGCAACAATATTATCTTCCATTTAGGCAGAATTTGTGGCCTGCTTGAAGGACTTACTTATACGAACTCAAGCATACTCCTGGTTTTATACATTATGTTCACTGCAATTCTCTTTTGATCTTTAACTTTTCTAATTCTATGTATCAACTTGTGGCATGCTTGATTCAGTACTAAAAGTATAAAAGTTTTAAATTATAATTTTAAAATATGTAAGTTTTAACCATTAACACTTCTTTAAATACTATGTGCTGGAATTCATGTTAATTTTTCAATCAAACTTCCATATTTCGTTTGATTGCAGGATTTTGGATGCAATTCCAGAAACCTTGCTGACTAATCCATCTTTTTCCTAATAAATATATGATGATGATCATCTCCCTTTTTGCAGGGATGCAAGCCGGCAGAACTCATAGTCATGGATAATATTACAGGGGGTTCAGTACCAGTAAGCCCCCCATGCTCATCATCTTTCCCTAGCCCAGTTTCATCCCATTATGTATTTAGCAATGCCAACAATGACACTGATCCCAACTCTCTTATTCCCTGGCTTAAAAATCTTTCTCATTCGTCATCCCGCCACCATCCCTACATCCCTGGCATTTCCATCAGCGCTCCGGTCACCCCGCCCTTGAGCTCACCAACCGCCCGTACCCCAAGAATGAAAGACGGCCATCAAAACTATCCTTTCCACCCGTATTATTCTTCGAAAACATCGCCAAGTCCGCCTGGGTGGCTCTCAGGTGTACAAACCCCACAAGACGGACCCTCATCCCCAACTTATAGTCTCGTCTCACAAAACCCGTTTGGGTTTAGGGAGTCACTATCGAACCACGGATCACGGATGTGGACTCCCGGGCAAAGTGGTACATGCTCTCCTGCAGTTGCTGAAGTGGCCATGTCAGATGCATTTCAAGCCGAGTTTGCATTCGGGTGCAATTCCAAGGGTGTAGTTACACCATGGGAAGGAGAAAGGATTCATGAAGAATGTCTCAATGATGATCTCGAACTTACTCTCGGCAACCCGACCACTCGAGAGTAAAAGTTCAAGACATAGAATGAGCATTTCTTTGTTCATTCTCTACTACTTCATTCGAAGGAGCTCATGTGTGATCCACATGAAACCAATGCCTTTATTTCCACATTTGGTTATGTGAAATGTGAATACATTAAACCTTGCTCACATGAGCTCCTTAGATTTACTCGTCATTCGTTATGTTTCTCTCTTTGTTTTTCGCGGGAGATAACCTTCGAATTGCTGCTTATATGGTGGCTTTATCTGTATGCACCTATTTAGCTCAATTTCTATCTGTTACCGTATTGTTACTCAGATTTTTCTGGATACATTTCCTTGAAGGTAATTGTGGGGATTTATGCAATTCTTAGTTCTCTTTGTACCAGTACTATTAAAAAAGACATAACAAGGACTTATTCAAATTGTGTATTTGTTTTAATAAGTCTTTTAACAATAGTGCATTGCAAACCAATATTCTTTTAGTCAAGGGTCCGGTACACTAACAATCTTCAAATAATCATGTTAAGTGTAAACGACACAAAAATACTCCGTAAATATTTTAAGATAAACATTAACGAGAAAATGGGTGTATCCATATGGGGGACTAGGGGTGGACTCGGGCTGGGCGGCCCGGCCTGGCCCAGTCACTGTTTGAACCGGCCCAAACCGCTGGCCCGGCCAGGGACCGGTCCGGGTAGGCCCGACCCGCTGGGGTTCCGGGCCGGGCTCGGGCCCCTGAAAAGGTGAACCGGCCCGGCCGGTTCGGGGCAATTTATTTTTTTTCCTTTTTTTTTGAATTTTTTTTATGTTTTTGGGTTGGGTTGTCTATTTTGGGCCATTTGAAGTGGTTTGGGGGTGAGGGGGGAGTGTTGGGGGTTAATTAGGAAAAGCCAAAAAAAATTAAGTTGAACCGAGGCCCGGCCCGGCCTGAACCGGGCCCGGGGGTTACCCGGCCCGGCCTGAACCGGACCCGGGGGTTACCCGGGCCGGTTCCGGGCCTTCATCTTTCATGAACCGAGGCCCGAACCGTCCCGAGTCCACCCCTATGGGAGACCGTTGTTTACTTCACCTATGCAGCGCCCTAAGCAAAATTTTCGGAACATATACGGCCATTTTGATGATCAGTAGTAATAAGCATACTTTTTTATTCCATTACCCATCTTCCAACATTAGTCCCAAATGTCCACAAGTCTAAGATAATACAAAATATATTCATTTTTAGAAAAAATTGAACCCAAGTTACCTGCAACTTAGTGAACCAGTAAAAACAAAAACAAAAACAAAAATACAAAAAGCAAAACAAAGGTGAACAACCTCCTTTCTCACCAACGGCAATTTTGCATCCCAGATGACTACGAGGATGGTGGCCGGGTGCTTCTCGATCCCATCGTACAATGCCATTTCCCTGATCCCCCAATCTTCTTCTTATCCTCTGCTTCTTTTCCCCGGCAGAGGAGTGTTCGTCGCTTTCACTAATTTCTTCTTCCCGTGCACAACATGCTTACCTCAGACGCAAGGCGTGCATATCTCCCGTCCAAATTTGACTATTCTTTTTTTATCATAGTTGTAGATAATAAAGTCATCTATCCACCACAACTTTCAAAACTTAGATTGGATCATCCAACTAAAAGATATGAATAAAATGGTAGAAGACTGCATCCTGAAGTCTCAACAACGATTATATGACTTCCTCGTATGTTTTCACCTTGATCCTCTCATATTCTCGTCATGGTGCCTTCATATGACTTGTAGAGCTTGAAGTTATCTTTCATATGGAACTTGAATCACATCTTTTGAATGTTCTACGAAAAGATATGTTTAAACGATTGACAGAACGTCATTCTGATCACCGTTTTCGAGTTTATTCGTCCTCGTTTGATCTCGTACTTGATCTTTGAGTTCCCTTGACTTTAAGATCACTCCTTTAATGACTCATGGACCTTTGATGCTTCTCAATAACTCTCAAATGTGCCTCGATTCGTCTCGGATAATTCTCCAACACCGGTGACGGGCTCAATTTCCTGATGTTAATTCTAAAAACACCAAATGCAAACCAAAACCCGACAAATTATGATTTGAGCTAATTAAGTGCTTTGTGACACATTTAAGCTAAGAAAATTAATAAAAGTCAATCCAAACAAGCATCAAATGCATGTCAAAATATGGACTTATCATTTAGAAACATAATTTTTCAACGCATCAAATTCTTTTCCATTGCCCCTCCTTACGTAGAGTACGTACTTCCTTATTAAATTGCCTTTTTGTCATATTAAAAAATTGTTTTAAAATAGTGCCAACTTCTCCTTTGTCTTGTAACAAATGTACCCAAACAACCCGTGAATGATCATCCACAATTGTTAAAAAATAAAGTGCACCACAAGTAGGCCTGCACTCGGGCCGGGTCGGGCCCGAACCGGGCCTAGGCCCGGTCAGGCCTCCGGTTCTAGAATGGGGCCCCCGGAACCGGCCCGTCCTTCGCCCGGTGCCGGTTCGGGCCGGGCCACCCGCCGGGTCGGATCGGGCCTATGTAATTTTTTTTACTAATTAATACAACTTAAATATGAAATACATTTTCTAATAAATACTAATATATTTAATTCTAAGTTGTAAGTTGTAAGTTTGTAACCAATTAATTTGAGAAGTGCTACATATATAAAACAAGAATGTATATTTATTTGAAATATGAACTACAAGTTAACAAATTACAATAGAGAATTGAGGGAAAAATTAAAACATGAAATACATTTTATAATAAATTGTAAAATACTAATCAATCGGAATCTCCGGCATATGAGCCACCTCGGTTGTTGATTCATCCATAAAGTCTTGGGAGGGGGTGATGCTAATTTCTTGAGTTCTACATATTGCCTTCAACCAATCGGAGTAGCATATAAGCGTCTCAAGAGACTCTGTGCTCAAACTCGTTCTAGATGTCGTTAGAACGTTGTCGGCCGAACTAAATTCTTGTTCCACGGCAACTGTTGAAACCGGCATTGATAGCACTTGTTTAGCCATCCATGCCAAAATCGGGAACATTCTTTCTTTTGACTTCCACCACTTTAGAACGTCAAACTCCTCATTTCGTCAAATTCTACCTCATAATTTATATACAAAGAAATCTCATTAAGTGCGCTTTGTTCAGTAGTGTGAGTTCTTTTAGTTTTTTTCATAAGATTGCCAAAAGCAGATTTAAAAAGTGATTTTTCGTTAGATGAAGATGTGTGTGTCGGGGGAGGGGGCGCATTGTCATATTGCTCATGAAACTCATTAAATAAGGCATGAAATAAATTACTAACCTCGTTGTATTCAACTTGCGGATCTATGGAGTTATCATCATACATTGGAAATGGACTAAAAAAAGTATTATAATAGAACTTCAAACATTCTTCCAAATTACCAAGTCTATAACGAGGATCGAGAATAAATGCAGCACAATAAATGTGCGAAATATGTGCATAATATTTTAAAAACTTGTCCTTCATAAACCACAAAAATATTTCACGTAAGCAGCATTCTCAAATTCATTAAAAGCACCGGCGAGATTAACAACTTCACGAATAAATTCGTTTGAGGCAGGTTTATAAACATGACTAAAACCATCAATTGCATTATTAAAATATATCAAAACATTACAAATTTTTTCGCAAGTGTCGATGTGAGCGGAGTTTAAAATATAGTTATCATATTGTCTTAAAAAAGCAAGAAAATGTTCTTTATATCTAAGAAGAACTTTAATTAATTTATAAGTAATATAAAATCTTTAAGAAGAGCAACATATTTCACACCACAAAACTTACTTATTTTCTACAAACTATAGGAGAAAAAGCCTGAGACATAATTCTTAACTTTATTGCAACAAACATTGTCAAACTGAGAGAATTTCGAGCAGAGGAAGTCACCTGCCAGAGGCGGTGACAAATTCTGCCGAACAAGAATTTCAGCTTAAACTGATATAGTCCATCCTTTTATTAGTATTGTCATTCCTCATTTCCTATGCCTTAGCTTCAGGTTTTTTAGATGAATCATTACTGTTTACTGCAATGAATATACCACCATTTTAATTAGAAATAAATGATCTTATAGGTGAATTTGGCACTTTAATGTGACCCTCATTCATAAACTCTAAAGGTGTAAATTTTTATCTCTTTTTCTTTTTCGAATTTTCTGTCAAATTGTTAAGTGGTGTTCTTGTTATTAGCAGGGTGTATCAACTATTCTTGCAGAAATGAAGAGAGTTTAGCTTTCCAAAAAGTTCTCCTATATGTTTGAGGCAAATTAGGCCTGCTTTATGCAATCACTCTTTGCTTATTCCATCGGAAAGTACTTTCTTCACACATTCTCCAGTCCAAATTCAACTCTTAGTTCTTTTTAACCAGTTTTTACCCTTATGCGGTCTTCAATATAATAAGTCATACTCTGTTATGTCTTCTGAGCTTCCATTTATTAAATGCAAAGATTAAGTGGGACAACTGGTTTGTTTTCATTACACACAAACATCATGTATTTTTTGAAAAGGCCGGTGCAAGAAGTCAGAACATGCTATTTCTTTCCATTTAGAAGTATACATTTCAATAATTATTAGAGGTCACATCTAATTTGGAATGGAGAATGTTAAGAAATTGCTTTTGCAAGCGCAGTGGCTTTCTATGTCAAATTTGTGAACATATTTGAATTGAACTACTCAGTGTTTGGTGTTCCATTCCTGACCTTAGATGCTTTTATGAAAATTGTTGAGTATGTAGTTTTGTTGATGACTAACCATATAGGTGGAGAACCGCTCCAGTTTCATAAGGAGCAAAGGATAGAACTATTCTTTCACTAACCATGCAAGTTGCCTTGTACGAACTCATGTTAGACCTACACTATGCTATCTATGATCTATCTACGTGCATGCATAATTACGTAAATAGATTGTGTCACTATTGGCTTGCATGAATTGAAAAAGAAAAATGCTAATTGAATATTTTGATTGATCCACTTTTAAGGAAAGCAATTAGTTTCATTTAAATGATAAACGTGGCATGAATAAAGGAAAGCTACTTTTTGAAATGTCTCATGACTTGAGGAAAGACTTGCTAAATATCATTTAGTGTCATGATTCGTTTATGGAAGGATACTATACCAATCAAAGCCTAATATATCTTTCCATAATCAGCCTTCCGTGGGTAGAAACCGTGAATGGGATGATGGCTTCGAAAATATGATTGTTGCTCTCTTAAAATAGGCAAATGAACTATTTCCTTGTTTTACCTTATTTTTAAATCTTTGCATGAATAAGGTAGTCTCTACAATAAAGGTGCTTAATCTTTTAATATCTTCTTGATTTGACTAACGAAATACCTCTAGCTTCTTACATGAAGAATAATAAACAAGGAAGGTAATTCAAAATTGATCAAGGCAAGGAAAGTGTGCCAAC